CTGCCGACAAGAAGACGTCACCGTACCAAATTCACTTCGTCGGCGGCCATGACCTGCAGGCTTCATTGGACCTATCATTTCAGTTCGGATGTACCTCGAGGCTCGCTTCCAGCGCACGAGCTCATCGGCAAGCCCGACCGTGAGCTTCTCGGCCCGGGAGAGACGTGCGCGAGTGAGCTCAGCTTCGTCCGCGAGGCGCTTCTTCTCGGCGACGACGCCGTCGCACTGCGCCTGGAGGCCACGCACGCGCGCCATGACCTAGATTGCTTCTGAAGACTATAGACTTTACAAGATGAAAGGTACCTGAGCGAGCTCGGTCTGCTTGGCGTTAAGTTTGGCGTTGGCGTCGGCCAGCGTCGCGTTCATGACGGCAAGCCGCTCCTTCTTGGGCGCGACCTCCTTGCTCACGCGCGCGTACATGTCCATGGCGTGGATCCACATGCAGAGCGACATGGCGGCGCGCGACACTTTTTTGACCTCGTCGACCGCAAACTCGGGGTTCTCAATGTACTTTTTGACGCGGAGGAGCGTCTTGGGCGGAATGTTGTCCTTGTCAAAGTCCTTGAGCTCGGCCATGAACGACGGCTTGGAGAGCACACGCTTGCTCGTGTCCCAATCCGGTTTCTCGCCCAGCATGATGCACACGGCCTCCATGACGACCTAAAATGCTTCTCCAGCCTCTGGTGCAGAAAGCAGCACGCACCTGGACTGCTTGCGGTGGCTTGGTGAAGCTCTTGACTTCGGTAATGTCCTTCTTGTCGAGCGAGTCGAGCGCCTGGACAGCAGCGTTGAGCGCTGGCATCGCGGTTTCGAGATCCCGCAGAGCGTCGGCCTGGCACTCGGCGACGTCGGCGGCCTGCGCTTTGACTATCGACTCGTCGTGGCTCACCTAGGTATGCACATTTGCGTCACTTTTCGTTGCGGACGAAACAGTACCCGTTGCTCGACGATAGCGGCCTCCGCCTGGTCAATCGCGACTTGCTTCAGAAGCGCCTCAGCTTCGAGGGCCTTGGCGGCGAGAATGGGCTGGAGATTGGTGAGCTCGACTTGGAGGCGCGCGACAAGCTCGTTCGTATCTTCGAGCTTGACGACACCGGCCGAGAGACGGTCGTAGGCCTCTTTGGCCTGCCACCGCTTCTCCGCAAGCATGCGCAGGTAGAGGCGGATCGCGTCCAGGTACGCCTTGGGAGTGACGTACACGTGGCGCTGACACGTTGCGAGAAACTGGGCGGCGGCCTCCTTTAGCGTCTCGTGCACGTGCGCAAACATCGCGACGAGGCCGGTCCGCGCCGCCTCGGATGCGAGCTCGACGTCGCCAAGGTAGCTCTCGGCGACAACCACGAGGGCAGACGATGGCCACGCGTCGTACCAGTCGATGGTTGTGCAGTTGAGAAGCGACGGAAACTGCCGGCACCGGAGGCGGAGCCCGTGGCCGACGGGCGAGAAGCACATGACAACGTGCAGAAGGCTCCGGACGCGCTGCAGAAAGAGGCTCTCGGCGTTGGCCCGAGTATCTTCGAGGCCGGCGTCCGCGACCGCCGACTTCATGTCGGCTTGGATCGCGTCGGCTTCTTCGTGCGTAAACAAGTGTGGAATTTCGCCAGCATTCAAGAGCGAGTTGACGTCCTCGACAAACTCGTCACACTGCAGGTGCGACTCGTGCAAAAGGAGAACCGTCTCTTTGCCTTTGGCGCCGGCCGCGACCAAGAGCTTCTTGAGGTCGTCCCGAAACTCGGTGCGACCGTACGAACGGCCCATTGCAATCTCGACACATGCCATGTCCATCATCGAGGCTGCGAGACGCGCGAGCGACCGTTTCCCAGAGCCACCGACGCCAACGAGCATCGCGTGGCCGCGCGGCTGGAGGAGGACGCGCGCGAGGGATGAGACGTGGAGAATGGTGTCGCGGAAGAAGACGAGCTGCAGCGTTGGCGTCCGAAATGTGTTGTAATCGGCCACGTACGACGACAAGAGTGCTTCGAGGGAGCTCATGTCGGTGATCTCTTCGTAGCCCTTGATTGTACCCGACCCGTAGCAGCCAAAGAGCACGGGAATCACATCGTCGGAGCCAAAGATTTGGTCGTGGGTCCAATTGACGCGAAAGCACTTGTTGAGGAGCGAAATGAGCGTCGTCGTGAGCCAGACCCGGTCCGTGACGTTCACGAGCCGGTCGTAGAAGACCCGCAAGCTTTCGTGTAGCCAGAGCTTGACGATACTCTCGGTCGTCCACGCCGACCGCGTGTGGAGGATGCCGGCAAACACCTTGGCCACGTCGCGGAGGTTGAACACGTAATGGCACTTGGCTGGCGTCGGCCGCAGCGCCTCCGTTACGGACGCGTACAGCCTGAGCGTCGCGTCGACGGTCTGGAGCACTGTGTCGCGCGGCGGCGGAGGAAACGCGAGAGACGTGGCGTGTCCCAGCACAATCGAGTGAAAAATCGTTCGCATCGCAGCGTCGCGACCCACGGGTAGCGCCACAATCGTAAAGTGCCGCAGCAGCCGCGGCGACATGGCCTGACGTCCACCGCCTACGCAAACATACATCGTTCGCAGGCGACGCGCACTGGGATCGTACCGGGCGGGCCACCGGCGGCGACGAGCACCGTGTCGGCAATCTCCTTCCAAAAGTACTTGTCGCGGTCGTAGACGCCGTTGTGCGTCAGGAGCTGGCGAAGAAGTTCGAGGCTCGGCTGCGACCCGTGCGCGTCCGCCGCTGGAAGGTTGATGTCGTCGACAAAGAGCACGATCTTGTGACCGACGGGTGCACCGAGGAGCGTTTTGCGCTTCTTGACAAGCTTGGCTTCGATCGTGGCTTGGGTCACCGCGCTCGACGTCTGCGCCGAAAAGTGCATGTAGAGGGGAACGACGCCGATGCCCGCGTCGTCGCCGTGCGTGGCGAGGGCGTCGATGACCGCGTGCGCAATGACGGTCTTACCACCGCCCGTCTCGCCCGCCAGTAGCATAGGCTTCATACCGCCAATCTACACACAATTGAGGCTGCAATTTCAAAACAGAAGCTTGCGCACCAGGAGCGAGAGGAGGTAGGACGTCTTGGTGACGTCGACTGTCGGCACGAGCAGGTTGAAAATCGGCGCGTGCATCGCGTACTTGAAGGGCGGCACGTGGTTCTCCCAATGGCTCCACCCAAGATCCGCAAAGTCGATACAAAACTCCGAGAGAACGGCCGCTGTGCGCAGAGCGCCGGTGCCGTTGCAGCTCATGGGCCCACCACTGCTCTTGCCGACCACCTACGATGTTCCAGATCGTCATCGAGTCTCGAACAAGAGAGACGACGCACGTGCAGGAGGCTGTCGTGAAACTGACTTCGATGTTGGCTGAGGATGCCCAGCAGCTGGTCGTTGAAGGCCGGCGCATCGTCTTCGTGCACGTTGGCACCGAACGCCCACTGTACTGCAAAGACGACGAGGAGATCCATGCACTTGGCTTGCTTCTCGGCGGTCGCTGTGGGAAACCACCGGCTCTGCTTCTCGAGGAGCAGCGCTATCATTTCGCACGCGTGCACGACGCAGCTCAAGTGCGATGTGGGCAACACCTGGCGCTGATGCACCGACGTCAGCGCCTCGAAGAACACCTCGAGCGCCTTGCTCACGCGACTTCGGAGCTTGTGCGACACGTACTTGGGGTCGACGTCGGACCCGAGGGTTTCGTTGAGCCACGACTCAACGAACGGCCGCCACCCGAGCGTCATGGGCGCAAAGTACACGACGCCGAGGCGCGAGACGCTGGCTGGCGACGCCGACGCGAGGTCACCCACTTCAAAAAGCAGGCGAATCTATCGACGTATCAGTCCTCTCGGCCATCGCGTGCGCTGCTACATGAGGAAGGAGCCGGATGCGCTCGCCACTCGCCAAGCACAGCGTCATGTTGTCGTCGAGGACGGTGTTGAGGTTCTCGATCCAGGATGCATCGATGGGCCCGTCAAAGACGAGCCACGGTAAAGACGCCTTCTCGACACCCGTCTTGGCGTCCTAGCGTAGCATGTATCTTGCAAGCTTGCTACGATCAAAGTGCATTTTGTACCACGGCATCCGCAATGATACCACGCAGCAGCGCCGAGGCAAGGCCATCCTTCCATTCGCGCGTGATAGGGTGGAAGCTGCCGTAGAGCTCGCCCAAGCTCACGCACTTGGGGTTCATCACCGTGAGCACGACGCGCTGGTAGCGCTTGTCGCTGCTGTCGGCGTTGTCGCGGAGGTCGCCCATGGACCGGCGCAGCAGATCGTAGCTCGTCGTCTTGCCACTGCCGGTCTCCCCCGTGAGCGCGATACCGACGCGCACTTGCAGCATGTCGAAGAGCTCGACCGCCTTTCGCGTGAGAGCGGCCACTTCCTGGAGCCTATGCGTGCTGTCAGATTGCACCCACAGGACAGCTCAATGTACCCGAGCAGCCGCGTCTGCGTCACAATCGCGTCCTCCAGCGCCGTCGAAACGGACTCGGGCACGTGCATGAGTGGAAAGAGGTCGCGCAATATCGCACCAAAGAGCCGGAGGTCGTTGGTGGTAAACTTGGGCGTGTTGGCGTCGCGCAGCGCCCTTAGGATCACGGTATCCTCGCAGCTGCTGGAGGCTGTGGTGGATGATTGCCGCTTGAAACTGCCCGCCATGAGAAGCACAGTCTTGACCGCGCGCATGCCAAAGTCGTAATGCGGCTGTTGGCTCAGCTGCTCGCTACAGAGCTTGTAGAGCTTGGTGATCTTGTGCGAGAGGCCTCTCGCGTCGTCAAAGCCTTCGCCGACGAGCATGATCTCAGCGATGAGCGCGTAGTCGGGCACCATCATCGAGACTGGCCGAAAGCAAATCTACCGACACGACCTATAAGACGGACATTGACAAGCCACGCGTACGTACTTTGAGATTATCGGGCAACTCGGTACGACCGGCATAGCCAGGGTTCATCGTTACAATGACGTGATGGTCCCGCAAAGTGATCACGCGGCCTTCGAATGAGACGTCGGCGGCGCCGGCCAAGCGACCGCGGCGTAAGAGCGTGAGCTGCTGTGCGATAACCGAGAGCACCTCAATGTCGATGCGGTTGAACTCGTCGAGGCAGGACCAGCACCCGCACTGGGCAAGGCCACAAAAGAGCTTGGCCATCGTCTTGTAGTCGATCTGGTCCGAGCAGTTGAAGACAATGCACTGGATCGCGAGTGCTTTCGCGAGGTCTTTCGACGTCTCGGTCTTGCCTACACGACGTTTGATACCGAGCCGACGCATGCAACCTACCAGTGCCGGCCGGGCCCGACGGTGCAGCACCGAGCTTGAGGTCGTACGCGCCT